AAAAACTGCTGAGCAACGAGGTCTTCCCAGACAATGTTACTGAGCCCTAGCCTCCTCCTACCCAAGAACCGAGCCTTCAGGGGATTTCAGAAGAAGCCGCTCCCTACAGAGGGCTCTGGGGAAATGGTGGCATCTGAGTGGCTCAAAGCTGCAGGAGTGAGGCTTGGAGGGTCTGGCCCTGGTGGAGCAGAGGAGGGAATAAAGGAGGGGGAGACACTTGAGGACGAGAGGAGTATTTATAGGTGCTGAATGCAGCCCTGAAATATTTCCATGGCCACTCCCGAGAGCAAGCTGGGTGACTATTTTGGTGCCCGTTCCAGCAGAGGCGGGGCAGGGGTGAGTCACTGCCGGGTGGCCACAAAGAGTGGGCCTATGCTGGGAGGGGGCCTGCAGGGAAGGATCATGGACCTGCAAGGTGAATGCTCACTGCATGTGACAGTGCTGGCCTCCAGGGTACAGAGGACAGTGGCCTGGCCCCTGCCTAAGATAAGCCATTCCACTGGGATTATTGCCTAGATCTCCCCTGGACAAAGCCAAAGCCACTCAGGCCAAACCCTGGTGAGGTCCTGGACACTCTGCAGGCACACGATGAGGCACCCCTTCTGGATGATTTCAAACATTTATTATTATTATTTTTAGATGGAGTCTCAAGCTGTTGTCCTAGATAGAGTGCTGTGGCATCATAGCTTACAATGACCTCCAACTCTTGGGCTCAAGTGATACTCTTGCCTCAGTTTTTCTATTTTTAGTAGAGACAGTGTCTCGCTTTTGCTCAGGCTGGTCTCAAACTCGTAAGCTCAAGCAGTCGATCCATCTCAGCTTCCCAGAGTGCTAGGATTACAGACATGAGCCACCGCACCTGGCTTAAGATTAACCTGATTTTTTTTTTTTTTGAGACAGTGTCACTTGCCCTCAGTAGAGTGCTATGAAATCACAGCTCACAGCAACTTCAAATTCTTGGGCTCAAATGATTCTCTTATCTCAGCCTCCCAAGTAGCTGCGACTATAGGTGCCCACCACAACACCTGGCTACATTTAGAGATGGGGGTCTCACTCTTGCACAGGCTAGTCTTGAACTCATGAGCTCAGATAATCCCACCCTGGCCTCCCACAGGGGAATGAATTTTAAAGCAGAAGCCAATCTCAACTTGTCCCCATCCCAAACCACTTCTGGGCTTGTGATTTTTGTGCCTGACACACCTGAGATGGCAAAAAGACAGTGGCTTCTTCAAGTTCAAGAAGGCAATGGAAGGAGCTCTAAAGAGGCTCCAGAGTAGAGTCCATTGCTGCGTGACCTGGGGGAGGCCCCTCACCCTCTCTGTGTGTATGTAGTGAATAATAATGCCTCCCTGTGGGTGGGTTCTGGAGCTACCTGCAACAAAGGAATAAGCATTTGGCTGCTGTGAGGATGGTGCACCTGTCCTGAGGCTTCATTTCTCTATCTGTGATGATCCTTACAGGTGGCAGGTTGGAAGTGGCTTTGGAAACCAACAGGGCTAAGTAGGGACATGGGGGGACCCAGCCCTGATTCAGTGTCCTTGAGAAGTGGCTGATGGCATAGAAGTTGCTATGATGCTCAGTGCATGCTTGCCCCAGCTTCTGACATCTGCTCTAAGCCCTGATGTTACCTGTGCCCCACCCATTGAGCAGGCCAGAACTCAGGGTCCTTGCAGTTGCTGTTCCCTTCACCTGTTCCCAGCTCTCTCCCCATGGCCAACGACTTCTTGTCCTTTCTAGGTTTGGTTTAACCCTCTTGGGAAAGGAGGTCCCACCCGAGCCAACTGGGTGCCCACAGCACCCTCCTCCCTGGCTGAATACCAGCACCACCTCCTCCTGGTCTCCAGGCTCCCTGCCCTACCTCCGACTGTTTCAGGACCCTCAGTAACAGTGGGGGTTCATGTGTCACTAGGGGCCTTCATACTCCCCACTTCCTGACCCTCTTACTTACCTCCTGTGTCCACTGGGCACAGGATCTTTGCATATGCCATTCCTCCATCCGGAATGCTCCCCCCCCCCCCATGGCTAGCTCCCTGGCCACGCTCAAGCCCTTCCCTGACCACCTCCTCACACACCCTGTAGCATTTATGCATCTAACTTGTCTGTGGCCTACTCACCCCTGTGGAAGGGCCAGGCAGGATGTGGGGGGTGCCTGGGACAGGGAAAGTGGCTCCAGTGCCAGGGGCTAGGTAGAGGGAGGTGACAGGAACATAAGCCATCTTGAGTGGCTGTTAGGGTGGCTCTAGAAGCAGCAGGTGAGGCCCCAGGAGGAGGAACAAGAGCTGTGTTCAGGGGCATCAGGGAGCTACTCCCCCATGCTGGTTCTTGGGGGCCACTGCCTGAGCCTTGCCTCTGCATTTGTGTCCCTGAAACAAGCTCTTGGCCCCAGAATAAGGCAGTGTCATTGGCAGTCCTGGGTCTGTTGCACACAGCTGAGTCATGCCAGCCACAGCACAGTGTGGGCAGAAAGCAAACTCCAGGCAAGGAGGGGTGGGGGTGGGAACCACCTACAGTGAAGGCAGTCCCAGTCAGGTGACAAGGGTGCATATCACACTAGAGAGCCAGAAAAGTCTAGAAGCCACAGGTTTAGGAACTAGGCCAGGGCTTTTGGTTTCTCTTCTTGTTGAGGGGGCTGAGGACGGGTTTCTTGAAACCAACCAGGAAGACTGAAACACAGGGTTAGTCCATATTGGATTTAGGAGGCCAGAAGCTTCTGGAAGCTTGTTGCATCTAAGGGGGCAAGGGCCACAGTAACCCATGAGGGAGGCAGAGGCAGCTGGCTGAGGCAAGCAGGGAGTTAAGTGGGCCTGGAGCCTCTGGCTGCTGGGCTGGAAAGGTCAGAACTAAGGGAAGCCTGGAATATGCAGGCTTTGGTGTAGGGGATTAGCCCCAGCACCCAAAACCTGTTAATTTATGAGCCCTTTGGGACCCACAAAAGGAGCACAGACTCTAAAGTATGAGAAGGCACCTAGGGCATTTGAATGTATTCTTAGTTGGGAACTTGGAAAAGCCAAACTGATAACAGCAGGGAGTGGAAGGGGCCTCCACAGGGCTTTCCACATCCCTGTCCCAGGCACCCCTTACATCCTGCCTGGCCCTTCCACAGGGGTGAGCAGGCCACAGACAAGTTAGATGCATAAATGTTGCAGGGTGTGTGAGGAGGTGTCAGGGAGGGGCTTGAGGGCGGCCAGGACTCCTGATCCTAAGGATGTCCCCTGGCAGGAAGAGGCCTGGCATAGCAGAGGCCTAGAGGCCTCTCAGGGCCAATTAGGTGTGGGGGAGTGGCTACAAACAAGGCCTGCCTCTCCCCCTTTACCTCTTGCCTGACCCATTCCCCTGGACACCACAGACCACCCTGTGATGTGACCATGCAACCTGAGGCCATGAGTGCTGGGCCACATAGGTCCTCCATACTTCTGTTGAGGGAGGTGGGTTCACAGGGTCCAGGACTTGCCACTTTGAGTCCTGCTTGGACCCATTCCTGCCTCTAATGCTCACCAAAGTGATGCTTTGTCAACAGAATAGGATGCAGGCAGCAGTGAATTCTACAAGAGACCTGGACAGTGTCCCAGTCACCAGGGAAATTTTTTTTTTTTGGAGATAAGAGTCTCACTTTGTCACCTATGGTAAAGTGCTGTGGCATCACAGCTCACAGCAACCTCAGAATCTTGGACTCAAGCAATCCTCCTGCCTCAGCGTCCAAGTAGGGGGGACTACAAGTGCCCAACACAATGCCTGGCTATTTTTAGAGATGGGGTCTCACTCTTACTCAGGCTGGTCTTAAACTTCTGACTCAAGTGATCCTCCTGCCTTGGCCTCCCACAGTGCTAGGACTGCAGGTGTGAGCCACTGCACCTGACTAGAAAAATGCAGAGAGCTGCCAGACAAGTTGTATAGAACTCCAAAGACCCGACAAGCAGCAAGGTCTTTAGCTCTAAGAACCCTTCCACACAGGTTTCAACACAGTGGCCATGAAGAGGATGTGTGCACAGAAGAAGAGCTGATAGGTGTCTCAGGCCTTCCTGAGCCACATAGGTCCACATAGCTCCTCCCCTTTGCTTACTGAAGGAACAGCTGTCCACAGACGATGATACTGAGAGCATTTTCCAAAAGTGCTGGCCATTGTCTTGGTTGGGTTACCCCAGGTATGACAGAGTGCCTTAGCCAGGAAAGGAGGGTATGATGATGAATTTCGGGTGTTCTGGGTGGCTGCTGTCCCAGCTCCTGTCTGGGTCACCAGTCTGGGCCTGCACAGAGGTGCTCACAAAGGCAGCAGCAGATGGTACAGCCATGGCCTGGGGGAACAATGGGAGGCCACCCATCGCTTCTGCCCTGCACGTCCCTCTCCCACCTCCCCAAGGTATTAACACCTCTACAGAGAGAGGAATGGGTACAGGGCAACCTGGTTCAGGGATGCTAGGGGATCCTCACTAGCTCACCCACTGCCCAGAACAAGAGGATGTCAGTGCCCTGTGGAACTGCTAATGCTTGGTAAGAGCAAGATGGGTCTTGGCTTTCTCTTATGCGGGCTGTGATTTCCCCAGGCATTAGGCCTGCTGCAGCCCAGGGACAGAGGACAGTAGATCCTCTAGATCAGTGGTTCTCAACCTTAAAGCTGTGAACCTTTAACACAGTTCCTGTAGGTCCCGATCCACAAGTTGAGAACTGCTGCTCTAGATGCATTCATTGGTTTCAAAAGAATGGTGGACTTGCCGTGTATATCTGCATTTATTTTTATTTTTATAACACAAACAGAGTGGAAATGAAGGGGCAGGCCCAGCAAGGTCCTGGCACAGGCTCTAAGGCATTCGATTATCCTCAGGTTTATTTTGAAAAGGCAAAATCTTGGGGCCCTGTTGAAAGAAACTCTCAAGGATGTCAATCTCCACACAAGTGGCTTAAAATAAAAACCTCCTGTCTGTTCACCACCATGGGAGACTCCAAGGTGAAATGTAAAACAAACCGGTTTGGAAAACGCCGGACCTTAAAACAAAAGCAAGAGCTTCAGAGATGCCTTTAATACACAGAATCTTCCAGGAATCCAGGTGGCTGTGGGGACAGCAACTTCACAAAACCAAAACCCCTGAATAATAACATTTTTAACTGGAGAACTGCTGGCTTTAAAAAACAAAAAAGGGACTCTAAGATGAGGGTCACAAAATGTGGTGGGAGCGGAGTGTTAAGGGTCCTCCCCCAACACCTGCCTCTTCCTTTCTTTCTGAACAGATCCATGGAGAACAGGAACACACCACGCTGGTGGGAGGGTGGCTGCCTGAGATGTGATGCATGGTGACCAGTCTCTGGGCGGTCTCACTGCTTACCCGCCTGTCTGCCTGGCTTTTTCTCTGGCTGGCCTCGGCCTGTGCCAGGGATCCCACCTCGGCCTCGGCCGCCAAACACACCTGCAGAACAGAAAGATGGGGCTGCTACAGAGCCAGATGGGCCTGGGACTATGCCCCAGTACCCTTGGACTCTGGGCTTGGTCATCTAAGCCCATTAGGCCTCAGCTTTCTCATCTGGGAATGGGGACCATGATGGTGCCTCCAGCCTCCTCACCCGGGGTGTAACATCAGACCACAGCAGGCAGATCCCATTGTGACAAGGGACTAAGTGTGGCCCCCCTAGGGGTGCAAAGGGTGGAGAGAAACAGAGGCTAGCACTGGTACCCTTCTAAAAGGACAAAGCCAGCCAGAAGGGCTTCTAGGAGTAGGGAGGCAGGCTGGTGGTGGGATGTGGGTGTGTAGAGACCAGGACAGGGCAAGGATGGGGGCTGCAGCAGGCGGACCAACATCCCATGTTTTAGCACCACCTGCCACCCCACACCTCTCTACTGGGAGAGAAACAAAAAGCCAAATTTCTGTATGTCCAGCTCAGGGAATGGACCTGGCACTGCCCACCCAGGGAGGTCCTGGCAGGATGGACTGTAAACGGTCTCGGACTTACTGGAGTTGTTGCCAGAAGCACCCACAGTAAGTTTGATTGTGCTGTGCCCAGGGCTACACTTGCCTGGCAAAGGTAGGGACACAGGGTGTGTCTCCCACACCCTGCGTGCTGGGTGCCCCTTCACCCCACCTCCACCATCTATCTGGGGAGAGGGAGGGCTGCATCTCCCAGGACCCCTAGCTCTGTAAGGCACATCTAGGAAGATGTGTTTGTTTCTGACAAACTTTCAACCAGGCAAATGTTTGAGGAAATTAAAGTTGGGGATTTCAACACCATGAAACCCAATGCCAGCAAGGGTAGTCCAGCCCTGTGGCCTGGGGAGGGAGGAATGATGCCCATGGAGGTTACAATTGGTCTCCTCTGCATACCTCAAATCCATGAAGGTGGGGGTGGGGGTCTGCTTTACAAAGGCAGCAAGGAGTTAGGGTTCTTGCTAGCCATGGGTCATCAGGTTCAGCAGGAATAGAGGCCAATGCCAGCCAGGACTGCCTGACCTCAGCTCTCTCTTGAACCAGCTTTGCCAAGGGGGCTATGGCCAGGGGTAGAGGGTTCCTGAGAGGCTACTGGCTGAAGCTGAGGGCCCTGTGTGTTCCCTGCAGAGTAGCCAAGAAAGCCATGCCTCCTCCCCTCTGCCCAGAGCAGGGCTAACCCACTCTCTCAACTACATTGGTCCCAGGTGCTAAGAGCCAGGCCCCCAGGCCAGCTCAGGAGAAAGATGAGGGGATGCAACTGGTCCTCCCACCTGGCTGGGGCTCCAGGCACCCCGCTTAGCCCAGACTCTAAAGGTTCCCTGCATTAAGTAGCATCCCAGCCCTTCCCTCTGGCTGAGCCTCTGCTCAGCACTGACTCTGTGGCCTCCCCAGCACTCTGGTTCCCTGAGTGAGCTACCTGAGGGTAAGCCAGGCTACGCCTTAAGCCCCCAGACCAGGACTGGCATGTAGGTGGTGCCCACAGATGGAAAGAACAAAGCCCGGGTCCCTCTGAGGACACCGAGCTGGGATGGGAGAAGCAAAGGAGTATGAGCTGCAGATGGCCCCAGGGGCATAACAAATTGAATATGTTAACTATCTCTAATGGTGGTGGGGACAAATGTCTATCAAAAAGGTGTGACTGTGGCTTTGTACAAAGGAATCACAGCAAGAAAACGTCCCATGCCAGGCCCTAGGCTGGGGCTCTTGCCAGCAGCCTGGAGAGGTGGGCACGGGCAGACCCTCTCTGCAGAGGGAAAACAGGCTTGAAGGAGATACAGGGAGGTGAGGGTTTCAGTGCCAGGTCTTGGGGCTCCTCCAGTTGTCAGTAGAGCAGCCCCCGGGCTGGAGCTCAACTATAGAAGCACCATGCGCCACTGCCAGGCAGGAGGGCTTGGGCAGGGTGGGCTAGCACATTAGCCACCCCAGGAGTTGTGTGTGCCTTGCCCCTTTTGTCCCAAGTGATTTGTGGAGACTGAGGCTCTGAGACAGGGCTGAGGGTACCAGCCAAGAGTGTCAACCTGGGTGACTGCCTTCCCTACCCCAAGGCCCAGTCTCCTACAGGAGGAGTGGGAGGACCTACCTCGTCCAGCACCCCCCATGCCTCGGCCCTTCTGTTGCTTCTGGTGCTGCAGGCCACCTCGGCCACGGCCCTTAGCTACCACCTCCTCCTTGACCATGTCGATGATCTCATCAGGGATACGCAGGTACTTGATGGTGCTGCCTCGGATGTAGCACTCAGGCATCCGCCAGAACTTGTCCCCATCCTGTGCCAGAAGGGGGGTTGGGTGATCATTTGGCCTGTCCATCCCAGCTCTGGGAGTGGGGGCCTCAGATCTGGGAGTGTGTGTGGGTATCTGGAGAGCTAGGTGCACACAGCTGGAGCAGCATCTGCTCCCACCCTGCCTGCACCCTGGTCACCTCTGGAAGCTGCAAAGTCTCAGTTCTGGGACATGACATGGGGTGGGGGTCCACTCTCAAGGTGGATCTCCTGACTCCAGGTAATCCTTTCCATGGGAGGAAGGGTAGGTAGGGCAAGGCTAAGGTGCCCCAGCATGGGCCATGAGGAAGATGGGGTAGGTACCCCCTGCTCACAGGTTTCAGTCAGGAGGGCCGACTACAGCTCCCTCAAAAGCCCAGAAAAGGGTGGGGGTTTCCCTGCACATGACACACTGCCACAACCCAGCTCTACTTCCTTTCTGGAGCCCTCTCTATGTGCCCTGACTCCTCCTGACTAGGCCTCAGCTGGGCCCAGGGACATAGTGGGCATGCTAGAAACCAGCGTGGTAGGTGGAGAGGTATGGGAGAGGGTGTTAGGGCTTGCCAGGAGCTGTTCCTAACCCAATGTCGCTGGTTCTCAGGGGAGTTAAAGTGAGACTGGGGAGAGAACAGGTTTGCAAAGTCCCAGACTCATGCCATAATGTTATCCCAAAGCACCTAGAAATGCCCCCTACCCTACCATGGTAAGTGACCAGCAGGAACCCAGGGCCTCTTCTAGCAGATATACCCCAGCCTTATACCCCTGCCCAGGTTCCTGGACAGTCCTCTCCCCCACTGGCCCTAGAAATCAGATCACAGTATCCTCCTGCTTAGAACCCATCCAAGGCCCTCTTGGCCTGAAGACAAGGTCCAAATTCCTCAACATGGCTCCCAGGGGCCTGAGATCCAGCCCCACCCTGGCTGCCCTCTCTGAGCCCTCAAGCTCCCTCCAGCAGAAAAACTTTCTGTTTCAGGAACACACACCAGGGGCTTACCCCCAAGACTTTGCACATACTGTCCCGCCTTTCCTTATCTGAAAACTCCAGCCTGCAACAGGACTTACCTCCTTGAAACCCCCATTCTCCCATCAGATGCCCTGTGGGAGGTGCTCACCCCAGAAAGTGTTTGGGTGGCCACTCTCCCCAGAAACAGATGTAAGCCCCCAACCAGTACAGGAAGCTCTTGAGGGCTCCTTGAGGAGGGGGGAGTGGAGTTGACAAAGTACAGCCAGGCTGAAACAGGAGGGTTCCTTGGAAGCTAGGCCAGGGATGGCTGCTTAGCATTCAGCTGTCCCATAACCGGAGCCAGGGCAGGTCTGGCTGTTGCAGGGAATTTGAGCTAACTGCAAGGAGGCTCCTGTGGCCTCTGTATTTGCTGTGGTCTCTGAGAGATGAAGAGGTTGCTACTGCCTACTTAGATGAGGACATGAGTTCACACCAGCCTCTCCTCCCAACATTGGTGACAGAGGCATCACCATCTGGCCATAGGGGTAGACTGCCCAGAGGAAGCTATGTGTGCACTATAAGAAGGCCCACCAACACCTGGGCCTTCTCCAGCCTCTGAATTAGGGAATTTGGTCTTGTCACATCTGGGAACCGGAAGAGGTGGCAAAACCCTATGTGCTCACACCCAGCCAATACATCTGGCAATCCCAAGTCCTGGAAATGGACACAGAGCTGCCGGACCCAGGCAGAATGACATGTACATGATCCTGCCTGTAGTACTACCTGTTAGGCTCCAGACATTCTCCACCTGGTGTGGCCTGTTGCGGAACAACCCCCACTGTGTAGCCCCTAAGACTGTCAACCAAACAGACACAAGACAGATGAGGTCAAGGCACAGGTAGGATCTTGAGGGAGGTGTTGCCTTCACCCCATCGGCCTTCCCCACCGTCAATGCTCTGTGGGTCATCTCTAGGTCAGGGAAGGCCTGTGACTCTAGGGCAACAGTGGGCCCATGGGAACAGCCACATCCCTACCCTGTCCAGCCCCATGGTGGCCTGAACATCCTGGATGTGCCTCTGTTGAACCATCACAGTCTGCACAGCCTCTCAGAGTTGACTAGCAAGAAGGATCAAGTCTCTCCTGGAGTTGGCCATCCCCACCTGTGCATTGGGATTTGGAAGCACAAGGAACCCCCAGGCCTAATTCCTTCCTGGTCAGGGTGGCACCCACAGACATATAATGGCAAAGGCCAGCAAGAGCAGCCTGTCATGGGGGCCAAGTCTAAGGCTGAAGGACTTAGAGGTCTGGTTGCCCCAACCCCTCCCACAGGTCCAAGAAGGCATCTTCACTCTACTTGGGAGTGAGGACCCTGAACCACAGTAAGTCCCTCAACAAGTGTGCACCTCCTAGCAATGCTGCCCCATGCCAACACCCACCCCCAAAGTCCCCACCTGTGCTAGACACAGTGCTCTCAAACCACCCTCCTACTGCCTTGCCTTCCTCCTACCTCCTCCCCACCCCTGCCCCAACTAGACACAGGCCACTCACTCTGGATGTGCAGATCACTTCTCTCAGATTAATGTTCATCCAGTTGTCACAGCTCACCAGGTGCCCATTGTATGTCTCCCCATTTTTGAGCTCCACCAACTGGAAAAAAAACAGGCCAGAGATCAGCTGTGGCCTCACAGCCCTGCCTCTGAGATGGGCCACCATAGCCTGTGCCTCAGCCTATAAGTGCTCAGGCCCTGAAAATGGCCCCTCTGTACACTTTGCTGGTGTTGCTAGACTTTCTTACAATAATATCATGCTTTGTGCAATTACATATGTATGAAAAACACACCAAATGTTTAAAACAATGGGCAAGATTATGGCCACTGATTCAGGGTGGCTAGGAGCCAGGTGGGTGCCCCTTTAATACCAGATGTGGTATTGTGGCTTTTGTGGTCCGGAAATGCTTCTCTCTCTCTCCTTTTTTTTTTGTTGGAGACAGAGTCTCACTTTGTCACCCTTGGTAGAATGCTGTGTCATCATAGCTCTCAGCAACCTCAATCTCTTGGGCTCAAGCAATCCTCTTGCCTCAGCATCCAAGTAGCTGGGACTATAGGTGCCCACTACAACGCCTGGCTATTTTTAGAGATGAGGTCTCACTCTGGCTTAGGCTGGTCTCAAACCTGAGCTTAAGCAATCCACCCGCCTTGGCCTCCCAGAGCGCTAGGATTACAGGTGTGAGCCACGGCACCTGAACCTGTTTTATTTTGTTTTTTTGAGACAGTCTCACTCTGTTACCTTGGGTAGAGTGCCATGGCGTCATAGCTCACAGCAACCTCAATCTCTTGGACAGAAGCGATCCTCTTGCCTCAGTGTCCTGTGTAGCTGGGACTATAGGCATCTGCCCTAATGCCTGGCTAGTTTTTCTATTTTTAGTAGAGACAGTATCTTTTTTTTTTTTTTTTTTT